AAGCACACTTGACCACTAGCCCGGCCTGCCCTGGAGTTGGGGCCTGGGCCCTGCACTCTGACTTTTGAGCGGAGAAGCAGGGGAAAATGGAGAGCAACCAAATGATACAAAGGACAGTGCAGAGGGGAGATTTCTGTAAACCACAAATTGAGGTGAAGGACTGACTGGAAAAAGTTGGAAGTAAGGTTCCTTGGGGTTAGCTGCACATGAAGTCAGCAAAAAACCAACCAACCAACCAACCCAGGTTTGCTCACAAACATACACCAAATCCTGCAGCAAATGATCCTACACTTAGACCAGTTGCTTCCAGAAATTGTTGCGGCCTACTTGCTAAGCAAGCTAAAGAGGGCATGAGTCCCTCGAAATCCACATGTTGAAGCCATAACCCTCAGTACCTAAGAATGTGATTTTATTTGGAAACTGGGTCACTGCAGATGTAATTAAGATGAGCAGGGTGAGCCCTAATCCAGTATGACTGGTGTCCTTATAAAAGGGGAAATTTGGATACAAATGAGCACACAGGGAGAATGTCTTGTGAAGATAAAGGCAGAGACTGGGGTGACTCAGTGGAAACTAAGGGTCGCCTCTTGATCTTGGGGCTGTGAGTTCAAGCCCCAGGTTGGGTGTGGAGATTCCTTAAAACTAAAATGGGAGGGAGTGAGGGAAGGACCAAGGGTCACCAAAGATTGCCAGCAAACTACCAGAAGTTAGGAGAGAGGCCTGGAACAGCCTCCCTCTCAGCCTCAGAAGGAACCAAGCCTTGATTCCCAACTTTTCACCTCCAGAACTGGGAGACAGCAAATTTCTGCTGTTCAAGCCACCCAGTTGGTGGCATTTTATTACTGCTGCCCTAGGACACTAGTAAGTGATGCATGCCATCTTTCCCCATAAGACCTCAGGTGAATTTTTATCGAGTCCTTAAGTAAGCAAACAGCCTCCTCTGAAACTTCATTCTACTGAGTTGTACGAATGTCTAAGACTATCTCTGTACCACAGTTGTAAGTTAAAAACAAGCAAGTGTTTGAAATTTCATCTACCTCCAACTGCCCAGGCACCAGGGATTAACTTTGCTTTTGAAATGAAAAACAAATTTTACTTTAACAATCAAGGAGCTTCTTCCTCTTCCTTTACTCTTAGAAGCGAGTCCTGATTGTATCAGATTCTTGCTGTGACCTGAAGAAACCTGGTCCATCCCACGAGGTCCCGCAGGACCCCTCACCCATCGCCGGGTCCTGGTTCTGGGGCTTGAAACCATTATCAAGATGACTACAAGCCTCTCAGCTTCAAAGTGGATACAGTGCTCTAAAATACTGGTGCTGGCTATAGGTAGTCACCCGCCTTCAAATATGCTCACACAGTCAAATCTGCAAAAACTGTTCAAGTCCTCGTTTAACCCATGCCTTACTCTGAAAACACACGCGCCTTCGGCTGTGAGTGAATGGCTGTGGTTTTCAAGGGAAGCAGGTCTGCCCTGGGGAATTCCGGATTCTGTTTTCAGATAATGATTGGCCCCACTAAGAAGTGAAACCAAAGCAGTACCTCTTTTGATACCTGGAAAATCCCCCACTCCAAGACATTTTTGCAAATGTACAAAAATTATGGAAAATTATCCTCCACAACCAGAATCTCCTACAACTCAAATATAAGCCACCAGAATTATCTATTTAAAAACAAACACCACAAACCTCTGATGTTCCTGTAGGACAAAGCACTCCCTCTTTTCGAAGTTAACAGCAGCTAACTTTTATTAAGTGCTTCGAGACGTGACCGGCACATTTCTAAGCCTCTGACGTGGAATGAATGAATTCTCAACCCTATGTGGGGGGCACCTTGACGATTCCCATTGTGCAGGTGAGGAAACTGAAGCAGAGACAGGTGAAGAAACTAGCCCAAGGTCACAGAGCTGTAAGCAGCAGAGCTGGGATTCAAAACCAGGCGGTCTGGCCACAACACACCACACCCCCTTAGCAAGCAAACAACCGGGGCAGACTCATAAACAAGACAAAAGCGAATGGAGGGGCGCCTGGGTGGCTCAGTCGTTGAGCGTCTGCCTTCGGCTCGGGTCATGATCCCGGAGTCCTGGGATCGAGCCCCGCATCGGGCTCTCTGCTCGGCGGGAAGCCTGCTTCTCCCTCTCACACTCCCCCTGCTTGTGTTCCCTCTTTCGCTGTGTTTCTCTCTGTCAAATAAATAAAATCTTAAAAAAAAAAAAAAAGCGAATGGAGGGAGTGGAGGCAGGTCAAGAAGGGTGGCTTGAGAACAGAGGCGGAGGAACAGCAATTACAACCCAGGCACTGGGCTGGCACTTCACGCAGGCTTTTCCCATTTAATTTGCACAAACCGTAGAATAAGCAGCACGCTCCCACCTGACATTAGTAAGTGATGGCCCTAAACCCAGGTCTGCGGACTGCAAACCCTGGTGCCGTTTTCCCCCCCGAGTCAACGTTTCAGATTGTAAGCTCGGTATCACAGTCTGCTTTTAAAAGTCAATGCAGCATTGGAGAGCAGTGGTGCTGAGGTCAGGAGTGGGGGGTGGGGGCACCACCCCACGGCAGCCGCACGCTCAGTGTGCTAACACGGGAGTCAGGAAGCTCAGGTTCTGTCTGGGTGCACTTCTGGCACCAATTAACTGTGTGGCTTTAGCCAAGTGCCCTAACCTCGCTGGGCCTCTATTTTCCTTTAGTACAAACTGGATAGAAGGATGCCCCACCTGCCTACCTCTCAAGTTGATGTTAAAAAAAAAAAAGGTATTACCAAATACATACAAACTTACAACCAGACAGAAGCTCCTTATGCTTTTTTGTTTCTGTTTTTTAAAAGGTGTTACCGGGCGCCTGGGTGGCTCGGTTGGTTAAGCGACTGCCTTCGGCTCAGGTCATGATCCCAGGGTCCTGGGATCGAGTCCCACATCAGGCTCCCAGCTCAGTAGGGAGCCTGCTTCTCCCTCTGACCCTCTCCCCTCTCATGCTGTTTCTCTCTCTCTCATAAATAAATAAATATCTTTGAAAAAATAAATAAATAAAAGGTGTCACCAACAAAGGTGAACTGGCTGTGAATACTGCAAGGTGTTCCACAGCGGATCATCGCCGGAACGAAACTACCCGGTGTAACCCAATGCACCGTGCTATGGCAGATGCGCGGTCCGCGCGCCCCCACCCTCCCGAGGCCCACCCAGGGTCCAGCAGGCCCACACATGCCAGGGGGGGAAGGCTACACCACGAGATTGGCCCCGTATGAACTTCATCCTCCCCCCTAGGAAAGCGGGGCTCAACCCTCCATGGGAGGTGTGGCCGGTCCTTGGCCCCCAGAGCTTCCGCCAAAGCAGGTTTGCCAGTCCAAATAGGTAATGCCAAGAAGGGGAAGGACGTGCTCCCAGAGCGAACAGCTACACCTCCCTCCAGGCCCTGGTATGCTCTGCAAGGTGGGTGGCACCCAGCGGAGGAGGGGAGGGTGCCGTCTGCCATAGCACGGTGCATTGGGTTACACACACACACACACACCCCACCCCACCCCACCCCACCCCCGCCGGTTCCAGGATCTGAAAAGGTTGTAGCGCAGCACGCACCACTCCTTAGGAAGCAGAGGACTCAGGTGAAGGTCGGGACTGGCTGAGTGAGGGAGAAGAACCTTCCACTTTTTGTTTTGGACAGAAGCCCACCGAGACTCTCGGTGACCCCCACCCCATTAGTTCCGGCCTCAGGAAGAGGAAGGGATCCGATCTGCATAACAGTGAATCACAGGCACTTTGGCACAATGACCCCTCTGGGAGAGGGTGGAGAAGCTCCTCTGGCAACTGCCTACACAAACAGGGCAATTCTGAAGAGCAGCAAACAAACCTGTCTAGCCCCAGTTCCCATTTTGCATAAGATTGCACCCCACAAAAACATCCAAGGAACACCTGTTGATCGATACCGACTGCTAATACTACGGTTTGGGCCAAGAGATATTAAAAAGGTCCCTTTGAAGGAACTCTGGGTAAGGCAATTTTGTAAAAATGGGTAATAAGTGTCTTTAGACTCCAAGAGCCAGCGGGAGCACCACACAGATACTCTATCAGTCAATCTTAGTGAACTTTGCTTCAAAAGGATGTTAAACCGAAGGATCTGAAACCATAAACCAGAGGGCACCTGTTAAGTCACTAGGTGACTGTCAGGGTACCTGCTTTCTTTATGCTCATAAGAAGTTACACATGGGGCGCCTGGAGTTAACACAGTCGGTTAAATGCCTGACTTCAGCTCAGGTCATGGTCTTGGGGTCCTGGGATCCGGCTGGGTGGGGCTCCCTGCTCAGCGGGGCCTCTGCTTGTCTCTCTCCCTCTCCCCCTCCTTCCCGCTCCTGCTTTCTCTCTCTCTCTCAAATAAATAAAATCTTAAAAAACAAACAAAAAAAGTTACACATGTTCCAGAGGGAGGAGGGTCGTTAGGCGCCAGGGCTGGTTAGGTCACAGCGGGACCGTCTGCCAACTGGCCTGGAACTGAACACCGGCCACGGCTCCTTAATCCAGGGTAAGTAGCAAAAACGAACTGCAACTGGGTTAAAATCTGGCAGGGGCCATCACGTTAGACCGGGGAGCACGGGTTAAGAGAAACGCGTCCTCCCTGTGGCCAAGGCCTCTTTTGGGTCCTCTGGTTCCAGAAAAAGACATCTCCATGTACACGAGGTACAGAACGAAGACCGTAGGCAAGAAAACTACCAGCATCCCTTCTCCCCTCAGCAGCCCCGAACTCAGACCGCCATCAAACACAGTAAAGGTATCCTCTACAACCGAACGGATGATCTCTCCTATTTCTTTCTCAAACACCTAAAAGCATAGCGACCGCACTAACAGCTTCCGTTTAGATTCACAAGAAGGGGAGGCAAGCGTGGTCCCGAAACTGCAACCACCAGGGGCCGAGGGTGGAAGCAGAGCGGGTGTGCTCCGTCCCTGGGTCCGTCCCAAGCCTGCAGGGCTCCTGCCCAGCTCCCCCAGCACAGCGCTCGCGTCCCCGCGCTCCTCTTACCTGGTTCGCGCGGCCGCCGGCGTCCAGCACCTGAGCCGTCGGTTCTGCCGGTGCCTTCTCCTCTTCCCCGGCGGCCAAGGGGCTACTTGCAGCCGCTCGGGGGTCCCCGCCATCCCCCGGCGCAGCCTGGCTGCTGTCGTGTACACTGGCGCCGACTCCTCCGGGGGAGGAGGCGGCGGCGGCGGCAGCGCCGAGCAGCCCGTGGGCCCCGTCGGCTTCCCCGGCCGCTACGCTGTGCACGAGCCACGCATCCACTCGCGTGCAGGGAATGAAGGGGGCCCCCAGCGCGCGAACCTCCCGAAGCAGCCGGCCCTCGGGCTCCGCCTCGGGGTCCGGCTCGCGGCCTTTGGGGTGCAGCTGGTCCGCACGCCCCCACCCTCCCGAGGCCGGGAAGGGGCTGAGCGCGTAGGCGGAGCTCGTCGGGCCGCCAGCGAGCAGCTGCTCATCCCAGAGCAGGGTGGGCGGCGGGAGCAGCAGGTAGAGGTCCAGGTCCACGTCCAGGCGGAGCCCCGCCAAACTCAGCAGGATGGTGAGGTGCAGGAGGCCGCCGCCGTCCGACCACCAAGGCTTCAGGTACTTCATCTCGCGCCGCGCGCCCGGGACGCCCCTGCCTGCGCCCGCGGGTCCCTGCCCTCCTGCAGCCGCTTTGGCACGTGCGGGCCCCGCGCGCCGCGGGCACCTGCCCGGAAGAGACAGAGAAGCGAAACAATGGACCCGGGCGCGCAGCGGCCGTCGCGGGCTCTCGGGGCCGGACACAAAGGCGCTCCCACGGCAGCCGGGACGGCGCCTGCGGGGTTCAGGAGAGGCGGAAGAGGAGCCACCTGCAAGAAGAGTCAGCCCGCCCGGCCACCCCGCAGCCCAGCGCCGG